CACTGATTACTTGTTCTAACTGTCAGGAAATTTCTCCTCAGTTCTAAGTTGCTTCTCTCCTTGATTAGTTTCCACCCATTGCTTCTTGTTCTACCCTGAAGTGAAATGAAGTCCTTTACTTTTGTTTTTGTTTACTTTTTTTCTTTCCATTGTGAAAGAATGATATTGTCTTAACTCAGGAGAACTAATGGGATAGTTACAATGAACTAAGTTCAAGTTTGTACTCTTTATATCTATATGAAAAAATACTTTCTTGCTTTGATTCACTACGCCATTCTTTCATGTTGCAAATTGTTACTTCAAATAGCTGTGCCCAAGGAAGAATGAAATGGGAAGAACAATATTGATTTATGAACATGTATCCTATGCAGACAGTAACTTCAACAAAATCATAGGAAATGCCAGGTTAAGAGCAGCTAAGAATATGTTTTCCAATGCTCTATCAACTGTTATGGGTTCAATCTAAAGTAATTTACCTTCAGCCAAAGTCCGATATTATTATAGGTCACATCATCTTTCTGGGCTCCCCCTTCCCTCCCCAAAAGGGAACAATAAGCAGTTTGTTGTCCCCCCCCCCCCCATCTGAGGATGTTTATTGTATTCCAGGCATTGAGCTGATATGTGAAAAGGACATCGATCTAGCAATCCAAGTGCAAGAGCTGCTGGAATTCCTTCATGAGAAACAGCACGAGTTGGAGCTGAATGCTGATCAGACGCACAAACGACTTGAGCAGTGCCTTCAGCTTCGGCACCTGCAAGCAGAGGTTAAGCAGGTCAGGGGTTTTCACCATTGTTCTGCTTCTTCACTTATATGATAAAGCCAGCTGTTAAAATGCCCTGTTCCCTACCATTCAAAATCTGGTAGCCTCTAAAAATTCACATCTGCAACAATACATGTAGTTCAAGTAGCTGATAAAGAGAAAGAGTGGGGGGGCTGTGAAGATCACTGATTGCTACCACCTCATTTAGAGACAGTTCTCTCGCACACCAACATCAGTATTACTTTCATTCCGACTGTCCCTGCCCGGCCCATGGTGGCCAGTGTGGTAGCAGTGGAGGGTGGGGGGTATAGGTGGTGCTATTGGTGATAGTGGCAATGGTGGCAGCTCTTCAAAACTGTCCAAGATTCTCATGTGGCCCCTTTGGAAAATCAGTTGCCCATCCCTGCTTTATTTTTTCAATGTTTCATTTTTTTAAAATCCAACTAGACATGTTTTTCATATCCTATTGTATCATGTATTCAAATGAATAAAGTGATGCATATTCAAAATTGACAAGAGTGGGAAAAATATCCCAAAATTATTCACATTTTCATTCATTTTAGGGTCTAGGGGAATATGTACTCTTTCTGTTTTGAACAAAGCCGTTGATTTGGACCAGGAATTGATAAAAATGTTTAGGGAAGTGTTTTTATTGTGGGGGAGTGTTCATGTAAATGTTAATATTACTTGTATTCAAACATATACAAGTCTGGAACATTTCACTACTGATAAAAGTCTGTGTAAGAAGCTGGAAGAAATAATAATGTTTTTAATGGTACAGAAAAAGTTTATTTGATTTGCATGAAGCATAACATAAAGAAATACTGATGTAAAAATATCTAAGGTTTGATTCATGCATTATTGTTGACCCCTGGGACAATAATTCTACTCATTTTAAAAAAACATCTTGTGAGATGAATATTTCATGTTGAGGCAAGAACATGAAATATAAATTAACAAGAAAAATGGTTGTGTATATGATTCCATTGACTGCTTGTTTAGGCCAGGAGAGTGGCAAATTTGAGGTATCGAGTTTATTGGTCTGGAATATATTCAAAATATGAAAGTAAAAGGACCTTGATTGCTTTACCATTTGCTCTATTTACATTTAGCTGCTGCAGCTCAGCAATCTATCTGCTTTACAATTCTATTCAACCACTTTCATCAATGTAAGAGCATAATTATACCCTCAAGGTCTATAAATATTGGAATACAGTGTGAGGACTTTAAAAAATGAGTTCCTTGCTCTTAAAAATGAGTTTCAAGCTGTCACATAAAGATAGAAAGTTGGAAACTGCAAGAATATCCTTTGTTTCTTACATTTTAAAGCTTATGACAAATCCCTCATTTATCCAGAGCTCAGAATAGTCAATTAGGCTCAATATTGAAAATATTTGTACAATTGAATTGTCTTTTTTGTCTGCCATTGTTGCCTGATAGATTCAGAATCTGCCATAGCATTTCATTATTTAAAAATTAACTCAATGGAAGCAAAAATAAAGATGGAATCAAAAGGAAAGAAATACTCATTCTCTCAACAATAAACCAGTAACCACTGATTTTGTTTTGGATATGATATATGGGGATATGATATGAACAATATATGATCCCTGTTAAAAGAATAATGTGAACCAACTGAAGATTCCAGTGTTCAACATCATATTCAAGGAATTAATGTTTATGATTTCAGTTATTATATGGATCTTATGGAAATACATCCTTCTTCCTTGAATTTACAACTAATTTTTAAAGGTCCCTTTTTACATGTTCCAATTTTGTTTTTACGTCCATTTAGGAACATGTTTTTATTTCTAATGTTCTTCTCATTTTTAAAGGTTATCTATGTAATAGTTGCTCAATGAATACTATATTGTAATATTAATTTTAATTGTATCGTACCAATAGCCAAAAGAGCAGAGTAAGTAGCATTGGTTTAGAAGTGAACATTTAAACCTAGTTCAAGAGAGTACCTGTATAATGGTACATGGGAATGCCTAGAATGATCAGATAAAATTCAGAGGAAGGGGGAGCTTCCATAAAAGGGTAGAGAAAGAAACTTAGAATGGATCTCTCCCTATTTTATCAGACTCTAAAAAGAGATAGTGGAAGATTTGTACTTTCAGACTTGCTAGATTCTCTTAATGGAGACTTACAATAACATAGAATTATCTCACCTGGTCTGTTTCCTTTCTGGTCTATGTGGGAAGGCTGACAACCTGTGATTTATTAATTTCTTTAAAAGTATTTATGAGGCTTCTTCATTCAGATACTTTTCAGGAAGTCTGTGGCAAGATCTTATTTGTTCAGATCTGTATTTTAAAAGTCAATGGCTTATTAACTTGTGAATTATTACAGCAATAGCTTTCCTTGGAAGCAGCTGAATTTAAATATATCATGGCCTGTCATACTGTGGTAGGTATTGGCTAAATTTGGCTTCCTGAAGAATGAGTCATAAGTAACATCATTTAGTAAAATTGGAATCTATTGATTTTGGCTTGCTATTCATTTTCAGTAGAGAGCCAAGTGTACTTTACTTTCACTTTGGAACAGTTGAGGCAACAAATGGTCCTAAATTTATTACCAAGTAACTCTTGCTCTTAAAAGTCAAGGAAAAGTAGATTGCCCCCAAACAGTTCATGGTGCTAACCCTACTTAACTTTTGCTGATGCACTACAAAGTCTGGAGCATTCTAGAATGCTGACATATGCTTGCACTTCAGGACAATGGAAATTTTAAATTGTTGTTTTCCCACTATTCTCATTTAATAAAGTTTTCTGTTTTCCTCTATGTACTCTAAAAATTTCAATGCCAAGGTAGTAAATTTCAAGTTACAAAAGGTGCTGCAAAACCTTAGAATATCACAAGATAAATGATTGATTTTTCACAGTTCTTTTTGCTAAAGAATTGAAAGAAAAGAATTATTATGATATTGACAAAATAACTGCAAGAATTAGAATACATAAGTATTTCTAGGGTATAAATACTTATAAGGGTTAATTAAGTTTATTTAGTGAATTTGAGGCAGAAGGCTCAAATTGAGGCTTGATGTGTAGACATCAAGATTTGGAGAAGGTGAGGTTTTGTCTCCCTTGGGGAAGATATAAAACATGACAGCTCTCGAGATCCAGGTGGGCCAAAATCTCCCTCTTGTTAGGGTTGAACAGGAGCCAGTTCCTCCCCATCCTTCACAGCCTCCAGTCTGGCTGGAGGAGGAGGAGGAAGAGGAGGAAAAAGAGGGCGACAGGGAAGTTGTTTTTGGGGAGGTGGCAAATCAATGTCTGCCATGCTCCAGCGCAATTTCTGGGAGACAAGTGCTTGACTGCTGGTAGTTCAGGGAGGTGAGGTGGAGCGCTGAGTTGTCCCTACATCCAGTTGTTCCATGCTGACCCATCCATGCCCACCTGGCTGCACTGAGTCATCTGTGCAGAGTCATCTGCACCAATCCGTTTGTGCCCATTCCTCTATGCCCATCCAGCCATGTGCACGCAGTTGCACCAACCCAGCCACACTCATCTGGCCATGCCAAACTGGATGCTGTGAGTCGTCTCATTCTGCTGGACTTATTTGGTCTGGCCCAGGGACATTATATACCCAGTTGGATCTCAAAGGGAGTTTGTCGTTGTTTCTGAAGTCTAAGCACTTGGTTCAACTGAGGCTGTAGCTGCTGCTTGAAAGAGCAGGCCTTGGATGGAATATGTTTGGGCAGGCTCTTGCTTCTTGTGGATCCCAGAGGAAACTTTCAAACTTTAATGGAATTTGTATGCCGCCCACTCCCTAGGGACTCTGAGGCAGAAGGCTCCCCCACACTTTTTGGAGGAGTTCTTAGAGATGAAGTGGCAAAAAATGTAGATGTAAAATAAAAGATTGTTTGAGGATGGCTAAAAGCTTTTATTCGACATTACTGTGTAGCAATAATAGTTAAATATAACTATTAATTAATTTCCCTGCTCTTACTTCATTTACAGATGGATTTTGGATGAGTATCAAATAACAGTTGAATTTTATTTTGTGAAACAATAAATTTTACAAACATGAAAGCAATAAATAAAAAGAAAGTTGATATTATCTTGTTTATAGCCATGTCAAATATTTCAAGGAGCTGTAGGCAAATGTATCTGGAAAATGGAAATATTTTTCAGGAAAAAAAGTTGCATGAAACAAACTATATAACATTGCCAAAGTCTGGTGCCTTTGTCTCTTTTAGATAACATACAATCTGAGGAGCTTGTTAACTAAATTTAACTAGCTGTAAATCATATATCTCATATATTTCTATTTATTTTTGATCCAATATACTTAGTAAAAATTGTGTAATGTACGTGTTATACATATTTTATGAAGGACTATTTGTACTTTATTTACAGTATTTCATATATGGGTTTTATTTCTTTGTAACACAGGGCACTAGGTTATTTTGTCTCATTGGGTTAGATACAGAGTAATCAAATCAAACCAAATTTTTATTATGGTCATAGACTCGCATAGAGATCCAGAGTAAGTTAGTTATACTTAGTCTGCATCAAAACCAATGCCTTTTATTTAATTATAATTAAATTTCTGAACTAAATCTAATTAGAACTAAAATGCATCATCCGATGCACAGTATCTCTCATGGGGCAAGGTCAAAGGGTAAAAAAGGCCTGAAGGGCTGAATCTTGAAGAGCAAGATTTTTCTAACCAGAAAAATCGACTTTGTTATTTTCATCACACCTCCAATTTGTCTGGATATTGTCTCACCTTCCTCATCTACCTCAAAATGTGGTTCCAGACACAAATGCAAGAATTCTTAGTAAAGTAGATTAGTGTGACATCTGGATGCTGGTGACACTACAATCCACGCTTCACCCAACCCCAGCTATTTCATGAAGTTAAAATAAAATGTTATCTCAAAATGTCTATTTTTTCCTGCTAGGTCCTTGGTTGGATCCGTAATGGAGAATCAATGCTCAATGCCAGTCTTGTCAATGCAAGTTCCCTGTCAGAGGCTGAGCAGCTCCAGAGAGAGCATGAACAGTTTCAGCTGGCCATAGAGGTAATGTTTACTGCACACATTGACTTTTCTTATGCAAACTGCAAAGATGAGGCTTCAGAAATAATCTGAACGGTGTTTAGAGGGTAGGAGAAGAAATAATTTCCAATGAACAGTTAAACTTTCCTATTGACTAAAATTAACCTGTATGTGTATGGGAGGTAGCTGTCTTTTAGCAACTGCAGTTGGAACTAAGTCACTAAGCAAAGCAATTGCTGAGTGAAACCACAACTGTGTTTTTGATTTTACTTCAGCTTTTCTGGGCTTTACAGACCTGTGAAGGTCATAAATGTGAGGATTGGTCGCTAAGTTAGTTTTTCATCCCCACTGTAACTGCAGACAGTTACTGTACGAGGCAGTTGCTGTTTTAAGCACAAAAAGTTTTGAAATAGTAATATCTTTACACCCCACTAACCTTCCTGCCCCAAATAAAATAATAAATAAATAAATACCTGATTGCCATCCTCCATTCAAGATGTGTGTAATTTGATACAGTCAAGACAAATGTGGTTTCTGTATAAATATATATATGAATATTGTTCCCCAAATAGCAAAAGTTGCAGTAGTCCATATAGAAATTAATACCAGAAAAATCTAACCTCTAGAGAGATATGGTAAATAAAAGGAAAGGATTGCTTTTGATCTTAATCTCAATTGTATTGCAGTCATATCTATTTATTTTTCTGGGGATCCTCAGTATATCTAAGTCTCAATGTTTATTCTATCACTTATTTAAATGAGAGGACTAGTTCAATTTATGGTATTTTACGAGATTGTATTAGAGGAAAAAATAGCTTTTCTGGAAACAGCTGCAATTCATTTATTTCTTATCTATCTCATTGCACCTTCAAGAAGCGTAGGGGACTATGGATAGCAGACTTTTTTTAATCTCCAAAATAATCAGATGAGATAGGTCAGACAGGAGACAGTGATTGGCCCAACTAAGAGGATCACTTCAGTTCTAATTTGTTAAACCACTGAGGATACACAATATATATATATTAGATGAGCAGATGAGTTGCTGTATCATAAAGTTAGTGTACGTATGTATTTTAGGAATAACAGCTGGGATTTGCATCACATTTTACTTCCTGTAAATATTATTTCCCCCAAGTGTTGGTTTAAGGATTAAGTTGTGGATAATTAGGGATTGCTTAGGGATTAATTTTGTTATAGGAAATTCACAATTGCTTTTAGGGTCACTTTTGGAAATTGCCTAAGTAGAATAACAGAAGATGGAAATTATACTCTGTCTCTTGATTCAGAATCAGAATTTTCCTGGTATTTGACTATTGTGGATACTTCCAGAAATCCATTTACCCAATATTTTAATAAGTAGTCAAATGGCATGCTGGCAAGCCCTGAAAGGAAGGGGAAGGTTTATCCATCCATTGAGGAAATTCTTTATCATTCAGTATATCTTGGCAGGATTAGTAAAGCGCGTCTTTGGAACAAGATATTTATTTCCTATTTGTATAGCTTGCTATATTTCAGAGATGCTTAATCTTGATACCAACTAAGAGCCCCTCCTCTCCAATGAAATGTGGTTATTCATGCTGCCAAGAATAGAGGGCTAACTGTTTAAATATTAAAGATCAGGTGTTTGATATCACAGCATGTTACTTACTACAAAGTGAAGAAAGTCCAGCTGATATATTGGGTGTTTTCTTTGCAAATCCTTTAATCTTTCCCTCTTAAACCCTTCAGTTTATCTGGGTTGCAAATAAAACCAACTGATGGTCTTTAAGCATTTTTTTAATCGCCAGCAATTATTGCAGTGATAGGATTTCTTTCCATGTGTAAGCTTTACATAAGCTATGAAATTGCTTGTCAAATACAGAGGTTCAATTGTTCGAGATGATCACGTTGTAGTTAAAAAATATGTTTAGAATAAAATACACAAAATCTGTTTTTAAAATGAATATGGGTTTTCATATCTTAGGCTAATAATAATGATGCAAAAACAGAAAAAAACCTAAAGAATTGTTCAGCAAACACAACAGGTTAAATATCAGCATCCTTTTTACTTAAATGCCATTTGGGCTGTTTTACCCAAAATTGGGATGTAAATCTAGAATGATCAGTAATATCAGTAAATGCCCTTGAATGAATATGCAGAATGTTTACTGTTTCAGAATGCTCATTCTAAAAAATGTTTCATTCTCTCATCTTTTCATGCTCACACCTCACCTCTTTATACCATTTGCTCGGCACATCTGTACAACTCTCTCTTTCCTCCCCACATACACAGTCCCTCTTTCATGCCACTTCCTTGCAGAAGACGCACCAGAGTGCCCTCCAGGTACAGCAGAAGGCAGAGGTGTTACTGCAGGCTGGCCATTACGATGCTGATGCCATCCGGGAATGTGCGGAAAAAGTGGCCTTACATTGGCAGCAGCTCATGCTAAAGATGGAGGATCGGCTGAAACTGGTTAATGCCTCTGTTGCTTTCTATAAAACTTCAGAGCAGGTGAGAGGAACAAAGGCCTCCTTCATTCTCAATCCCAATCGTGTTCAGTTTGTTTGCAGTCCCTCCACTACTGTGTGAAATGACCATTAGATAAAGATGTAATTGCTACCATTGCTACTGATTATTCAGTAACATCGAGCGATCGACCATAGTGAATGAATTGCACATAATTTTTTGTAGTCTTTGTTTTTCTAGGCATCTATAAACAACAGTGTTCACTGAAGTTTATATTTGGTAACCCTAATGAGCACAAAGGAGTTCTCTATATTACCTTAGTGTAATTCAAAGGTTACCTGTTGGGAACATGATAATGTGGCAAAAAAAATTTAAAGCACTCCCAAAGAATGAGCTTAACGTTTCATTTTTCATATAGTTAAAATTTAAACCTTTGGTAGACAATAACATTATTTTTTGTAACTTATATATTAAATATGCTGTTCAATTGCTCAACATAGAACATCATAGTTAATAGTTACAGAATATCAATATACAATACAATATATAAGCAATACAGAATAATTGGACAAGTATGTCAGTGTATGTATATACACAGTATTACAGTCCTCTTAATATGACATTTTTGAATAGTTTGTGTTCCTACCTAGTTTATCTCAGTCTAGACCAGGGGTGTCAAAATGGATTTCTTCAAGGGCCAGATTAGCATAGTGGTTCTCCTCTGCAGACTGGTTGCAGGGGGATGGACACAGATGCCTCCTGCAGCATCCTGCCAGCAAAATGGGGTGCATGGAGGCCTCGCAAGGCACATGCCTTGTTTTTTGGCCTCCTGCAGCACTCTCCTGACCAAAAAAAGGACTGCACAAAGGCCTTGCAAGGCCTCCACGTGGCCCGTTTTCTATCTCCCCGGCGTCCTGCAGCTCTCTGAGGGCCAAAAACGGGCCATGCAAGAGTTGCATGTGTCTCCCCTCCCGCACAGCCCGTTTTGGCCCACAGAAGCACCACAGGGCGGTCCTTTGATATTTACAGGCCAGCTCTTCGGGCCAGATTTAAGCACCTCTTGAATGACACCCCTGGTCTAGCAACTTTCCAGTTGCTTAGTATTACAAGTTCCATTAGTCCTTATCAATGGCCATAGTGGATAGGGATGATGCCATATAATATATTTGTAGAGGTTCAAATGGTGGAAAGGCTGACTCATCTCAACTTCCTGTATGATGAATTTCCTGTAACATCTGTGAATCAGGCCTATATTTTTGGACAGCTGATAGGTTCATGCTTTTCATAGTAAATTGTTTCTGCTTTTAAAGGTAACTTTGATAACTAAACAATTGTATTTTGGCTTATGCCCAAGGTTTGCAGTGTGCTGGAGAGTTTGGAGCAAGAATATCGAAGAGACGAAGACTGGTGTGGAGGTCGGGATAAGCTGGGACCATCCTCTGAGATAGATCATGTTATCCCTTTAATCAGCAAACATCTGGAACAGAAGGAAGCCTTTCTTAAGGTCCAGTCTATTTCCCCTGTTTTTAGCAACTGTTTTTTTTTCCATTTGTTTTGACTGCAGGAGTAAATTAGGTACTAACTTGGATGAAAATCCGTCTGTAGGAAGATAAATTATGTTCTATCTCAGAAGTGAATTTCAGCAGGATCTAACCAGTTCTGGAGAACCAGTAGCGGAAATTATGAGTAGTTTGGAGAACCAGTAAAAAGCACCTCTGACTGGCCCCACCCCCATCTATTCTCTCTCTTCTCCCAGCTGATCAGAAGGGAATGGGGATTTTGCAGTAACCTTCCCCTGGAGTGGGGAGGGAATGGAGATTTTACAGTATCCTTCCCCTGCCCCGCCCACCAAGCCATACCCACCAAGCCAGGCCACGCCAACCAAGCCACGCCCACCAAGCCACAGACCCACAGAACTGATATTAAAAAGAATTGAATCCTACCACTGTTCTATCTTTGATCTACTGTGTTTTATAGGATAGAGGTATCTTTCATCTTATTTTATAATAAGAACCATAAAAGGAGAACAACATGTGTATGCATTCCTAATGTACTGTATGTTCTTCTCCAGAATGATTTCATGCCTGCATAGCCTGAACCATGACTGCCATAGAGGGTTATTAAGATTTCTTCATGCTTAGAATCTCATAATAAAACAAACATAAACTACAGTTAAAGCAAGATTAACACTCTTCTTGGGACATTAGTGCTGTTACTTTTCTTGGAAATCAATGTTTCTATATAATATTTTCCCTCATATCATCCCCAAAATGATGGTTGTGTCTGACCACAGTCTGAAGATCTCTCATGTTTTCTCATGCACATCAACATTCTTCAGAGGTCAAAAGGGAAAATAAAGCTCAAGTCACAGTTCAGAAGGTTCCTTAATGTTTTATTCTTCCAATTTGCTTGTCAAAATTGTAACTGTCATGCTGGGTCTTGGTGGTGTCATTTCTTGCCCACAGGCCTGCACACTAGCACGAAGGAATGCAGAAGTGTTTCTCAAGTACATTCATCGAAACAACGTCAGCATGCCAGGAGTAGTGAGCCATACCAGGGGCCCTGAACAGCAAGTGAAAGGTCAGTGAGTTTCACATTAAGGGAATCGCATCTTAGCTTTTAGAAATATTGTATACCATGCACTCACTGCTTCTGTTTATACTCTTCTCGGTTAAGGATGGATTACCTAAGAACAGAAACACATGCACTTACCATCTTTGTAGACCAAACCGAATAGGATCAGATGTCCCAAAGAGTTGCAAAATATTTTGTTCGCAGCTTGGAAACCAGGGAAATTGTTCTATTTATCTAACTAATCAATCTCCTACCTGATTATTACATCTAGAGGTATTTAAAATATACGAATGTCTGCAATTCATTTTGTTAGACCGACCTTGAGGACTAAGACTGTAATCCTTAAAAAGATTTACAAACCTAATATTCCCTTCCCTGCTTTATAATGGTTCTAGGTAAAGGCTTTATTAGCTATAAACCTTAAGGTTATGTGCTAGCCATTCCCAACTCTAGGGGCAGTCTCTAGGGGCTCATCTCTGTTACAAAGCCAGAGCGCCAGTGCTGTCTGAAGATGTCTCCGTGGTCATGTGGCTGGCATGACTAAACACCAAAGGCACACGGAACACTGTTACCTTCCCACCATTTTTCTACTTGCATTTTTAATGTGCTTTCAAACTGCTAGGTTGGCAGAAGCTAGGACAAGTAACGGGAGCTCACTCCATTATGCGGCACTAGGGATTCGAACCGCTGAATTGCCAACCTTTCTGATCAACAAGCTCTATTGTATACATTAGGAATAATCTAACTAATCAATCTCCTACCTGATTATTACATTTAGAGGTATTTAAAATATACAAATGTCTGCAATTCATTATGTTAGACGGACCTTGAGGACTAAGTATGTAATCCTTAAAAAGGATTACAAACCTAATATTCCCTTCTTTACAAGGGTTCTGGGCAAAGGCTTTATTAGCTATAAACCTTACAGATACCCCAAAAGCTGTGTTCAGAATATGGTTTATCATTTCAAAAAGTTTCCATATGCATCTCAGTAGGGTGTCTAAACCCTAAAGTAAAAATGCAAAAAAAGAAGAAGATATTTTTCATTTCTGATTGGATTACTTTTAAAGCAATAAAGGGCAAATTATGTTACTACAGTAATCATTATGTAATTTAGGAATGTGTGTTCCAAACATTTGTGTATTTATTCACATTTAAGAGGTTGAAAATGTAAAACTAACCCGCTTAAATATTTCTTCATTGGCTGAGTTTTTCAGCAATACTAGCAATGTGCAGTACATGTTTGCATGTGTGACTGTGGGGGGGAAAGTAACAATTACTCATATTCAAAAAGATAATTAAAATAAAAAAATTAGAAATAGCAAGAAAGACTTTTTTAATATTACATGGGAATATGTACCTATAATTTACATTAGACATGCATTTGGGGCACCCATCATGTTTCTGTTTTGAATTAAATAACCTTCCGGAAATAGATTTATTTATTCAATTTCTATATAAATTTCTATTACATTTTTTTCTATTAATAATCACTAATAGATTCGAGGGCTTTGAAATATTTAAGAAGGGACAGGTCACAATCTACTAAATATATTATTTTGTACCAGTTCCATAGAATTTGTAATATTAAAATATGAATAGATTTTTTTCTTCATCAATTTTGATTAATATTCATTAAAAGATGTGGGAAATTAGGTGGGCTTTCTTTCTGTTGCACAATGGTCTTGGCTACACCGGCACTACACTTCAGGAACATACGTTACAATCTTTAATATATGGATGCATTAGTCATTCATGGCCATGTGATGAAAAAAAATTGAATTTATACCTTCCATCACCCTATGACATTTGAAGTGATGATGATGACAATAATGATGGCATATATTTAAAGAAATAGGATTGTTTCTACTGGAAATTTAGGGAATTACGATGTAATGAAATGCATTTTTAGGCTGTTATTTCAGCAGGTATCTGCATAGCAATATCCTCAAAGAAATACGATTTAATAGAACTGCTAAATTTAATGAAGAATGGTAGAGATATATAAAGTAAAGATATGCTAAGAAGATATGGAATGCATTCTATGTTGCCTAAAATATCTGGGTGCCTAAACTCTTAGTGTCTACATTGCTTGAGGTTTGTTTGGTCTGCTTGTGTGTATATGTGTATTTTTAATTTGTTTCTGAGTTTTGAAAAGCACAGACTGAAGTGTTCTTCACTAGAGAAAGTATTCTGCTTTTACAAGAGTTTTGAGCTCACTGACGTTCACAAAAGTGTATTTAGCTGTTTGTGTTAATGGCTGTCCTTGCTTTGCTTTACTGTTATTTTTAAGTCTGATCTGAAGTGCTTAACTCTAGGGAACTTACATTCTTAGGATAAAGTACCTGGTGGAATCAATAATTATTTTCTTCTGGCTGTGTTTACCAAACCAGCTAAGGAAATAGCTCTTCCCTTTTTCCATCCATAGCCATTCTGAGTGAGCTGCTGCAGAGGGAAAATCGTGTTCTTCACTTCTGGACTTTGAAGAAAAGGCGACTGGATCAGTGTCAGCAATATGTAGTCTTTGAGCGCAGTGCAAAGCAGGTAACTTGACAAAATGCACTTCTCTTCATTGTTTGAGTATCACACTGAATGTGCGGTAGTTTAATAGCAATAGAAATAGCACTTAGACTTATGGTATCTACCACTTCACAGTGCTTTAAACCCCTCTCTAAGTAGTTTATAGAGTCAATCTGAGTCCTCATTTTACTGACCTCAGAAGGATGGAAGGCTAAATCAACCTTGAGCCTGGTGAGAATCAAACCGCCAAAGTTCTGGCAGCCGGCAGTCAGCAGAAATAGCCTGCAATACTGCATTCTAACCACTGTGCCACCATGGCTCTTAATAGATTGCCCGAGCAGAGAATTTATCTGTGATGCTTACTTTTTGTATTTAAGTCCTATATCCAATCCTTGCTAACTGTAATCACTGGAAAAGTTTAAGTCAGAAAAAAAACTAAATCCATTTAGCCATTAGTTCAAGTAAGTATTAAAGCTAATAGATTCAAAACCAAAAACCATCCTCTTTTCATTTAATAATTTAGAGCAAGAACTTTTCATGGAACATTACCTTGTATTGCAAAGGGTTTGGGGCATCTGAGTGACACTTTGAGCTTTACCATAAGGAGAGTTATCTCTCATTAGGGCAATTCATGGTTAAAGAAGAGAGATCAGTCTAAAGGCAGTCCATTGGGGATTAAAATGGCAACTCACTCAGTATTGTGGCAGGAGAACCAAATGGACCTTCATACCTAGGATATAATAATGGAAAAGAAGCCTCAGGGAGTTACTAGGGAAAGTGTGCAGTGAGTTATTGAGGAAAAACAAAAGGCAAGTAATGAATAGCACTGATGGACATTTCAGGGACATTTTCCTGCTTTCTCTATAAAACCTTTAGGGTGAATCTGTGTTTTGTTGGAAGGGAGAATTTGACTGTATGGTTGCTCTCCATGGTCCTAAAATAAAACCAAAATCCTTTTCTGTCATCTACTGTACTGGCCGTGGTGCTGAAATTATTTTTCTACCATCAGCTGTCTAACATTAGTTGCCTGAGCTATTGTGTAGATCAGATAATGGCATCCTATAAAAAGCACAACACATTTTCTTACTTTTTTATTTAATGTGAATGTTGCTCCTTAATTGTGCTAGTATTTTGAGATATTTTGAACATTAGGAACAGAGAAATATAATACTCAGTTCAGGATACATGGCCATACAATAAAATGTGTTGGTCTTATGGTATCATAAGGGTCTGGTTTTTTAATGTGTTTTTGCTCCACCTGTAGGCTTTGGATTGGATTCAGGAAACCGGAGAATATTATCTCTCTACTCACACTTCCACTGGAGAATCAGCAAATGAAACACACGAGCTTTTGAAAGAATATGGAGAATTCAAAGTACCTGCCAAGGTGAACTGTATTTATAATTTATACACAATATGAAGTTTTATAATTAAGAAATCAATAAATATATGATTGTGGAAAGCACTGCTGAGATAACTATCCAACATGGGGGAGAGGAGAATTGCTTGAGCAGCATAATAAATCATACCATGAATTTGTGCATATGAAAAGATGAGTTTAATGCCCTTTACTGTTAATGACTATGCAAATCTTATGTAAGTTTAAAGAGCATGAGATATTCATTTATAAGTGAAATAACTGATGGAATTAATTTGATTTATATTATCTGATAGGAAAACTTACTTTAATATAATAGTTAAGGTGTCAAATTAGAAGCCAGGAGACCATGAGTTCTAGTCCTGCCTTTGACAAGAATTCATCTGGAAGGATATAAATATAAATACATATTTTATAGTTCTCATAATTCAGACACAATTCACATTATTTTAGACAATTGGACTGATATCTAAACACCTCTGTAGACTAACCCAATGAAATACTTAATGGTCTGCTTTTAATATCTAAACACCATACTGCAATTCTCTTCAATTTAAAAGTGATATAGGGGAGAAAAGGGTTTGTTAGTTTGTTTGTTTGTTTGTTTGTTTGTTTGTTTTAGGAAAACAATTTTAAGATTCCTTAAGAGAAAAAAGATTTAAATGTGGTATACTTAGTATGTTGGAGTACAAATGTAGGTTCAAGCCCATCCTTAGCCATAGAAGTTTGGCCTATCTTTAGACTACTCTCTCATCCCAGCCTATTTCAGTGTTGTTGTAATGAGGATAAAATCCTCACCTTGAGTACTAAGAGAAAAGGTAGAATATAAGTATGAACAAATAAACAAATGATAGTAGAACTAATTTTATAGTACTTTATAGCAATATATGGCTAGTATTTCCTTAACAATCTTCTTTTAATGAATGTTTGATATTATGATGCCCCCCCCTCCCAAAACTAATGACCCATGATCACATTTCGGGTGCCTGGCAACTGGATCTCAGGTATGGCTGTTATGATTTTCAATATTTTTTGCTGGTTTCCGGCATTGATTTCTGGCAAAAGCACCCATTGGGTCTAACACATTTGTTTAACAAGCATGGTGCTTGCTTAATCACCACAGCAGAAAAGATTGTAAAATCAGATGTGGAAACATGATTTGTTGAGCGACCACCATAATTTATGACCATAATTCTGGACTCAGTTATGGTTGCAAGCCGAGAAGTATTTTTATGTAACTGCTTTAAGACACAATCTCTTCTTTACATTCCAACTTTGGCTGTTTTTGCAATCATGCTTCAGTTTCCCAACCAGTTCTGTTGCATCCAGTGAATACTTTATTAGAGCTGGGCTGAGAGGGAGTGATTGGCCTAAAAGTCATATGAAGAATTTCCATGGCTGCAAGTTAATTTGAGGCTGCATCTCCCCAGTCTTATCCAATACCTTAGAGAGGTATTGGCTTAGAAAATACACCAAACTTGTTTTTATTTCTATTAAAAATAATTTAACCTTAAGGTCATTTCGGGAAAGTTTTTCATGTCAGTTATTTATTTTAAATGTTGCCTGTTGCCACGTAAGTGCAGGACTGCTTATTTGTCAATTTCCAGGAATGATTTCCCATTCAGCAGTGTTTAATAGAAATAAGTGAAAACATAAGAAGCTGTTCAGAGCTGTTATTTTCTCTTCATCTTATTTTTAAAAGATTATCTCATAATCAGACTGTTCAGTTATATAGAGTTATATTCCAGTGAGTGGGTATGAATATCATTGGAAAAGAATTACTTTGGAAAATAAATTTCTTTTTTAACTACTACGTAACTGACGTTGCTGCATCATATATTTAATAAGAGTTATATGCTAATTTAAAGTTTTCCAGTGACACAAGATGAAACATTTGATTTTTTCCCCCATTGCATCCTCTTGCTCCTCTTTCCTGGAAACCATTTTTGAGCATTGGAAAGACCTTCCAGCCAGGAAATGATTATAGACAGAGCAATTAGGCAATCATGTGCCTCTCCCCATGTGGGTCCTGTTAATGCCAACAAAGTCTGTGAAATTAAACCCACCAGATCTATTTTATTCTTACTTTCTTGCCCTGATGTCTGACACAGAACACACAGATTTTAAAACCTTTTGATGGAAAAAGCCGCATCCCACCTACACTCTGTCTCCCAAGATTTTAAGGACATTTTCACATTAGCAGCATTTGTGAAAAATACAAGGCCCAGATGGTTACTTTGTGAATTAAAATGGAACAGAATGTCTGTGAAAGATGTGATAACGAAGAACAACTCTTTTCAACAGCAAACTAAGGAGAAAGTAAAGCTTCTCATTCAGCTGGCCGATAGCTTTGTGGAGAAAGGACACACACACGCCACAGAAATTAGGAAATGGGTTACTACAGTTGACAAGTGCTATCGGGATTTTTCACTGAGAATGGGGAAGTACCGCTACACTTTGGAAAAAGCTCTTGGGATCAATACAGAGGTACTGTAAGTTGCATGTTTTTCTGACATATCTTTATTAAGGAAGATGCCTGGATTTGGGATATATGAGATTCTTTCCCATCCACCAGGTCCTGCTTTGCTTTGGTGCAGCATGGAGATCTCCCCAAATAGATTCCGAAAGACAACATTTGGCTCTACTGCAAGAATAGATAGATAGATAGATAGATAGATAGATAGATAGATAGATAGATAGATAGATAGATAGATAGATAGATATAATTTCCCCAAAAATAAATGCTATCTGATGACTAAGTAATAGTCCATTCATAAATGTGGGAAGTATTGCAACCTTCAGAAGGTTGTTTAAGGCCTTTTCAGTCTAAGCTTCTAGTTGCGGATGACATGCTTGACTTGATTCCCAGGGAATGAAATGGTTAAACTGCTGTGGGGTGCAATTCAACCATTCTGCAATAATCCCATAAATATCTAATCTTTAAGGGAGGAAGAAAATGACTGAAAAGAGTTTTTATCCCAAAGAAAGCCTTGAAAACTCTTTGTGGCTTCACCATGAAAATTAACTTACAGACTAATTAAAACAGTTTGTGTGTATGCATGTATGATTCTTGTTTGCAGAAGCCCCCCCCCACACCTTGCTAGAGCTTCATTTATAACCCCCCCCCCCCCAAATTGCTTCTGAGCATGAGGAGAGAAAATAGCTGATAGAGGAATGTGGGATAGAAAGCTGTTGTTGGGATTGTTAAAAAAAAGAGGTATTTAGTGTTTTTAACTGAGATCAGGCCACTGAGTTGAGAATGACCAAGTCTATGCTTTGAACCTTGTTTTAACAAACGTAGTTAGGATATGCTTGTCTCTTGAGAAGATCAAATTGCATCTCTTAGGACCAATATTTTGGAAGAGCAAAAAAAAAACAAAAAAAACACCAGTCCCCACTCCCCCATCATGTGTTTAAGCAAAGAGGAAAGATTATTTTCATCACTTCAGAAGACCAGCATGGTGGGAGGAAAAAGCTTCTAAGAATCTTTCATCATTTGTGACTTGTCCGATCTGATGTGCTTTTAACTAATTATTCATAAATATATTGGTGCGTTTGGCCTGTTTGCACTGTGCAATATTATCTTCCAGTGCTATTGTTTTCCTTTCATCTCTTTCACTTTGCAAGCACATTTTTTGCATTTGTTTATTCATTCACAAACCATAACGATTTGTTAAAGCTCCGTGTCACTGCATTTTTCAGGATAATAAAGACCTGGAGTTGGACATCATTCCAGCAAGTCTGTCTGATCGTGAAGTAAGGCTACGTGATGCCAGTCATGAAGCCAATGAAGAAAAGAGAAAGTCAGCCAGAAAAAAAGAGTAAGTGGTGAGAATCAGGTGCCTCAGTAATATATCAATTCGCAAAAAGCAACCGCTTCTTCTCAGCATGTCAGCAAGCTCACCCAGATGTGAGGCAGCTAGAATATCATGTTATGTACATTTGTACTGAATGTTATTCTGGCAAATGGCCAGAACAGAGATAGAAGAAGAACAACATGTAATCATATGGATACAGAAAGTCTGGGATAAATCCAATCCAGATGATGATGATTATGTTGTTGTTATAGTGGTGCTTGTGGTTGTTATTGCATTTCAGAAAAGGGCACATCTATTTTGTTTTGGGTAATGACATGTTACACGCATATTTTGTTGCAGATGTGTTTGAAACAATAAAATATTTACAAGCATGTAGCAAATGCTATTGTACTTGTTACTGAGGAAATCTCAGTATTCTAAGGGATTATTCATTGGGAACTAGCCAAGAAATTGTTTCTTGTTCAGTTTGATCTTCAATTGTCCCATGATCAGAAGGAGTATTGTTCCATGCTTTATTGTCGCCTGTTTTCATTTAATGGTTTAAAAAATAGTGATGCTATTGGCAAGGAAGTAAAAAAGGCATTAGATCAAAATGCAGTGTGACAGAACATTATGTTAGAAATTGTATTCTCTTTTGTTCTTTATTTGTTCATTGGTTGGGAACTAAATGTTTTTTTTCTCAATTTATCAAGTTAAAAGCACAAAATGTATTACTTCAATGAAATTAACAACAATGGTATTTCTTCTGGGTTCCAGAAATTTTGGTCTCTGAAATATTAATTATTATGTAAATTGCATAGTACTGTCAAGATAACTATATTACCCAACAAATCCAAATGCATTCATATTCCAATGTGTTCTAAATAGAGTGTTTGAACATTGAAAGAAAATAGTAATCTATTAAAGTCTGAGAACTCTCAGTAAGAAAAAAAAATATCAGTGCAATTATACTGCAGAAATATTTAACATCCATCATTCCAGACACATATATCTTTTCTTGTGTTTTATTCATACATTTATATATTATACTTCAGGTTGTCTTTTCTTCAAAAGGCTTAAGGCAGACTTCATAATTCTCTCTCAGAAATGTTATCAGTACAACTGTGAGACAGGCAAAACTGAAAGATTGTGTTGGTTTCTCTGTGCTTGTTCTATATAGTCACGCAAAACCATTTCTCCTTGTAGGTTCATCATGGCTGAATTGCTTCAGACTGAGAAGGCTTATGTTAGGGACCTGCATGAATGTTTAGAGGTATGATACCTTGCAAGAATAAACACAATGTTTTATATACAGCTCATATGGTGTAATGATTTGTTGTATACAGTATGATTTGAAAAATAATAATGATCTTTATTTCAGTGGTAGTATTACAGATTGTTGGCCATTATAGCAAATGTGACTTAAGTAAAAAAAAAAAAAAAAGTGAGGCGGGGGAACCCGGTTCATTCCTTCTGCTTTAGGGTGGTAAATTGGTGGTTTTTTGCTGCCAGCATCTATTTTTGAAAGGGCACCTCACTTGACATCCACCCTCTCATGGGGTATGGGGTGTGTGTGTGAAAGAAATATGGTTGTCACAGCCTGTACTGAACAATTGAAAGGTCAAAATGTGACATGTCCATATTGAACTTCCTGATCATATAATTCCACCACCTTCCTTCCTACAATCTTGGCAGATAGACTGTTCTTACAAAATAAACCTAATGCGAGTTTATTGAAAAACATGCATGTTTTTATTTTTTTAAACCAACTTTATTAAATTTCAAAGGAAGGCAAAATACAAATTAATGAAAAGACATTAATGAAAAGAAATGAAGGGATTGGAATGTGAAAAAGTTAAGAAATGAAAAGAGAGAAAAAAGAAAAAGAAAAAAATAACAAAAAGAATGACTTCCAACTTTCTTTAGTAAATGTATAAATATATAATAAAGTAACCTTGTACTATAAATTAAAACAAAAATATCATATAAACTATGCAAACTAAATAATGCAAACTAAAGCAATATAGCAAAATAGCAATTTATTTTAAATGTAAACAAACCTTTAAAACCTGCCTTCCTTTTGCATAAATATTTTTTATAATTTTATTAGTTTTTTCCAATTTTTAAACAATTATCATCTTTGCCTTTCTAAAACACACACAATATTTCTATAATCATAACAAATCTAATTAGCAAATCCTAAAACTTCATTTTTATCTTTCTCAAGTAAAAAGTCCAAAAGGGGTCTCCATGTGGACACAAGCTAGATAAACTTTTATTTTTCATTAAAATGTTAAGAAATAATAATTTTTAAAAAATATCTTTGTATTTGTTAGTATTAAAGTGCCAGCATTCAAGAATGGGGGAGACCAACACAGAGCTGTTCTGATCATGGGACGGAAATTAAAAGAGCATTACAACACAAAACAAACAACAGCCCAACAACACAATGCTCCAGAAAGGTCACAAAATGTTAGTGATCTGTTTCAAATGCAGCAAGAATATTATAGATCACAGGGTGAAAGTACAAAATACTACAATCCCCAAGAATATTCTTTTCAGACATGTTTTCACTAAGCATAAATAATGGAATTACATACAATTCCTTAATTTGTGTAGAGGAAATAAAGAACATTATAGAATAGCAGAGAAACATCAAGAACTCAGTGTAGATGGATTTCCCCTCCACCTTTTTTGAGGGGTGGCAATTTCAAGCTAGAATCAGAGGATTCGGAAAAGGTGATAAACTCCCGCCCTTCTGCAGCTTTGTTTCAGCTTGAATTCTGCCCTTAGTTTTAAAGGGAGTAATCATGATCTGTCTCTACAAGAGGGAATGGCTGGGTTATCTTACTCCCTCTGTATGTAACAAAAACTTCTCTCCCTCATGAGAATATGTAACATTCAAGCAGCCAGCACTGCTGTGAATGATTGACAAAGCTTTGTTCACAACAGGTACTTATGACAGACTCCCGACATAAGTGGAATTATGGGGAATATAAATAGAAATGATGTGATCAAACCGGTGTGTTACGTGTTCGGGAGATGTATTGTACTGTACTGTCTAGCTGAGTAAATGAAGGAGAGAGAATATGTGGCATTCAGATTGGAGAAAGGATTTTGTAGGATGTTCAAAACATTTCAAATTCAAAATTCCCAATCTTGAATTTAAAGCAGCCGTTCCTTATGCAGAATGGGCTGCTTTGACCGTTTGGGAAGCATTGTAAACCCCAAGCAGATTAGTTCAAATTTGAGACAGAAGTGTGTTGGTTTGAAACAATTCCCAAACAATTAGACACCTGTGTTTCGAACACAAAATAAATGTTCTGGAGCTGGTGCTTTGAATTTGAAACATTTTCTTCACTATTAGAGTTTTGAATTATTTATTATTATATTCTTTTTCCACTCAATATTATTATATTCTTTTTTCCTTCAACTGGTGGAAAGGGCATCACATATAATGTCCCTTCCACCAGTTTTCCCAGTAAACCTTGTAATGTACTTTGGAGTAACTTCTCTTGAGAGGTTATATGACTGAAAGTAGACTTGATTCTAAGTCTGCCTGGTCTTGGTCCAATTTTTTAATCACTACAGGACCATTTCTCTGTGTTCATCATAAAAAGAGAGTGACAATATTGGCCAGCAGTTCCTTTTGGATTATTCATATTATTCACACCACTGAACAGTTTATGGCAGTGGTCTCCAACCTTTCCGACTTTGCAGACCAGCAAGGGGAGGGGAGAGGGAGTGGTTCCATGCAAGCAGTGGGTGAGTGCATGCGCATACAGTTACAAGAGGTGGACACGCGGGCCTGTTGCATGTACAACTAGAGCTGCACACATATGTACATGCGCACGTCACTTCCACAGCCCGCTTCTAAATGGGGCATAGCCTGGTAGTGGGCCATGGCCTGAGGGTTGGGGATCCCTCCTTTATGGTATTTGTATACTGAACTTTTCTCAGATAGTCTCTTCTTTTACCAAGAAAAATAAATAGCAACTTTTTGGCTATATATGTAAAATAAATAAATGTATAATATACATTGTTTTCTAGACATACCTTTGGGAAATGACAAGTGGAGTAGAGGAGATACCACAAGGGATTCTGAACAAGGAACACATAATATTTGGAAACATCCAGGAGATATATGACTTTCATAACAAGTATGTTTTCTAAACATATTGAGATATGTTATTCTTTCAGATCACGGAATATGCAAGCTACAATTCCTACATAAAAGATCATGGCATTATTGTTTCTGAGACAGTTCTATCATACTCATGATAGAGACAGTGTCTGTATGATGTAATTATGCTTCCCACTAAGACATATAGTATGATGTTTGGCTGTACAGGAGGCCAAAACTATCCTGCCAAATAAGTGATGTGTCTGGAAGTTGACATGGAAGAAGAAGTTGCAACACCTATCATTCTTGGCCCTTGCCGTTGGTACCTACTCCATTCTATGCCTTAAATTGTATTGCTGTAGATGAAAATTAGTCAACAGGATTAGAAATGAATTTTATCTAGCCTAATTAATGATGGAGATTCTGTATTCATCATAGCAACACTAATACTTGGCTGTTGATGGTTGTTACTATGTTGATTCATTAAGTAAGTCAAGGGGTACCAAGTTGACAGTGAATAAGTAATTTTGACAAGATCTACTATAGAGCTTAGTGCAGTCATGGCATCTCTTTTCTCAAAATGGGAATTCCCTATAAAGAATATTAGGCAAAAGCTGCAAACACCAGTGCAGCTGAAACTAGCATTCTGTTTGTACAATTATGTGAAGTAGCTGTTCAAAAGCCACACATTTCAATGAACACATAACTTTGACTATCTCCTTACAGGTGATCTACGAGTAAAGTATCATGACAAGTAGGCTCTCCATCAATTCTATTCTGTTTAATTGAGTCTTACTTGAGCATGAAATTTACCTTCATTTCATCTGTTTATGTGAGAAACTCTCATATAAAAAACTCTCATATACAAACAAGGAGACTATGAACAATAAAAAGCACATTTATTAAAATGCAATTGTATATAAGCTTTCGCAAAAGGATTCTCAATCATGAAAGATGGAAAGAGAATGTCTGACATTTCTGAATACATGGCTTAAATACATTTTGGAGTAAGAGTCCATCCCTATTACATGTCCGTGTTATACAATCTCCTGGCAACTTGCAAAACGGTTTATTTGAGTGATAGCTTTTTAAAATTTGTATATTCAATTAAGTAATATTTATAGACTCCTGGACAACTCTGGCAACTTATAACTAGGAACCATTTAAAAACAAAAAACAAAGATACAATAGACTGGAAGAACAAAGTAATCAAAACAAAAACAAAGCAAAACAAAGCAAAGCAAAGCAAGCAAAACAAAACAAAGCAAAACTCATGGTGTCCCAAGGCCTGTGAGGAGTATCAGATCTTCAATAGTTTCCTGAACAATATTAGGGTGGGAGATACATGAATCTTAGGGGTGGGGGTGGGGGAAAGGTCATTCTGTTGGGTCAACCTATCCTCCAAAGCACCTGGAGGCAAGGCAAACAGAAATGGATGGAAACTAATCAAGGAGAGAAGCAACCTGGAACTAAGGAGGTTCCTCTCTAGCACTGGAGTTTTTTTAAACAAGAGATTGGACAACCATTTGTCTGAAAAGGTATAGGGTTCCCTGCCTGAGCAGGGGGTTGGATTAGAAGACCTCCAAGGTCTCTTCCAACTTTTATATTGTAATTCTATTAGAAAGTTCTCCTGAAATTGCAACCTGAGTCCCACTAAGATGACAGAAACCAGGATGCATCGACCTTCCTGGACCAAACCAGATGGACAAAAACAACTGGAGAGAAGCCATCCCTGAGATAGATATTTCCCATATTGTGTACTTTTTAAAAAACTAAATGTTTGCTTTGATTCTGTGGTTCCCTCCCTCAGGCCACTAGGAATGGGACAGGTTCTGCAGTACTGAAAAAAAAAAATAAACATAAATAAAATTTTAGCCAGAATGTCAATCCCATAAAGAGAATCTGTTCAAAAGCGTAAGCATTATGGTCCATTTGCCTCTCATGTAAAACAATAAAGGAGTAAAAGATGAAAAAGGTATTGGGAAGGTTAAGTTCAGAGCTGCTTACCCATTGCCATATCCATTGCCATGTTTGGCTGCCCAGTAAAGAAAATATACTATGACTAATTTCTATCTTTGTTTTCATTTCTTTCCAGTATTTTTTTGAAAGAACTGGAAAAATACGAACAACTTCCTGAAGATGTTGGTCACTGCTTTGTCACCTGGGTAATAAGTCTAAACATATTATTCTTTCCTTTTGAAGGTTTTGTACATTTGTATTTTGGTTTTGTACATCTTTAAAGAGGTCAAAATGATAAATTATATTCATTCTTTGTCTGATATAGTCATGCTAGCAAGTTAAATTATTCCTTTCCTGACCCCCAAACCCTGCTTATTCTTATACACTCCTGAAACTTAAGGTATTCTTCAGGAGCAGTCATGGCTATTAACACAAAAGTCAAGATAATAGCTGCAACTTTGTGATTAAAGGCTTTCCATTTTCTATGTGCATTGCATGAAACTAAGCCATTGTAGCTGTTAACTTCACTTTTTTAAACTGTTCCAGGAAACATCTGGTATTCTTTGAGCAAATTGGGGGGTGTGGGGGGTGTTGTACTTTGTTGCATTAAGGTGTTGTTTTTTTCTTAAACAGTAATCATATTATTCATTTAAATCATTGATTGCCCATTGGTAGGTATAACTCATCATATAACATCTTTCTGCTGCCAAAGGTTCATGAGATCAGTGTGTTATAAGTGTGTTAAAATATTAAATGAATTGTTTCAAGCCAGGAAGTTTGTCAGAGAAATACAATACAATATATTGCCGAAAGGAATAAAATGGCATCATTTATTTTGTTCTTCATTGAGACCCACTGAAATGAAAATAATCTTTTACCTTCCTGTGTTCTAGTTCTTTATGATATAGATGTACACGTTGCAAAATGTTGAAAGTGGGCAGAAGCCATATGTTACTATAAAACTTGGATTGGGAGTCTTTAGGGAAATATCATTTATTAATCTAATTAATTCCTGAACCTGAAATATATCCACCTAAAAGAGATGGATTTATAACATTCCAGTGGAAGCCAAATTGATAGCCCAACCACATCTCCTAACGTTGCTTTTCTTTCTCTCTTAATATTAATTTTTCAGGCAGATAAGTTTCAGATGTATGTTACCTACTGTAAAAACAAACCTGATTCCAGCCAATTGATCCTAGAGCACGCAGGAACATTCTTTGAAGTAAGGATAATTTACTGCTCCTCTTACCTAGAAAGAGATATGTGCTGCTGTTTGGTTCCCATCTTTTCTCTCACCACCTTCCTTTTCTCTTTTGAATAAATTTGTGGTTTGATTTCCCCACCCTCCACCCCAATTACTGCCTGAAACAAAGAAATCTTGAATTCTGCTGGGTGTATCTAAAATCATGTGTAATGTTACAGGTAGAAAACACTAAGATTGCTGTAGTGTTGCTTTTTCTTAGAAAAGGACCAAATATATTATCCGATTTTCAGATTGAAAGAAGCTAGCAATATCAGCGAAGTATAAATTCTGGAAAAAAAATACTTTGAATAGTTCTTTTTCACACATTTGCAATCCCTCAAGAAAATTGTCTGAAAGAGTTGATGAGAACTCTAGTTTAGATTCGGTCAGGTTGCAAGGATTTCAAGGGTTTGCCTATAAATGTTTGAGCATCATCAAAAAAGCTTAGAATGGAAGGTCACTTCCTTTTGGGGGCTTTGTGTAACACAGCAAAAAAAAAGCTATGAATGAAAATCAAATTACTCAAACTTATGCCAGTAGACAAGGAAAGTAATTCCCTTATCATTTCATTTTTATCACACAAATACTGCTTCATTTGTGTAAATAGTTGCATGACCAGATTCTACAGCATAAATCATAGCAGTGGCTACGAGAAAATGCATTTGTCTGAGTCAAAATAATTATGCTGATTGCTAAGGAGATAGAAAAAAAAAGGTAAAATTAAGATTATTTTGATCCTCATATGCTATTAAATTCTATGTTGTATTCTTGCAACAAAGTCTTTAAAAAACAACAACTAGCCATGATATATTTTCATTTTCCATGCAGTTTTTCAATCCAGGCCTGTCCGTTTCAGTAATTAATAGAACCACCTATTTACTGGAGTGTTAATTAAATTGAAACTTTACAATGCAAATGCATCTCAATCATTTGGGAATATTTTAGTCTGTATTGTAGTATTTAACAGTGTGGATTATTTTTTTAAAAAAACATTGAGTAATTAATAATTATGATTCAAGGCTAAATTAGATAAACAGTAGATTTTTGTGACCAACTCCCAATTCTCTGCCGCAAACAGGAATTACAAAAGGAGAGTTTCATGTAAAAATTGCATTCCAAAGCATTATGGGTACTTTTCATTTTTTTTCCATTTCTTGCCTCTAATCCCAAATAGGTGCAAGATGTTCTTATTTGTCGCATTGAATAACAATTAGGTATTGGTACACAAGATAGATGTTCACTTTAGCTACTCTGTTTAGCATAATTATTAATAAAACCCTATATAGAAATGGCACACCAAATTGAGAATTAAAATAAACATCTTTAAAAAGGGCAGCAGCCAACAACTTTAAATATTTTTTGCAAGAAAACCATGTCATCCAAAACCAAGCTCAATTCCGAAGAGATTTCATATTACTTTACTCAAATCTTACCTTGGATTAGAACCATATTTGGTTCAATCATTTCAACTAAAGGAAGAAAAGAAAAAGAAAGTGACATTTTAATGTTTAATTGAACAAGATTCTATAGAAATAAGGTTTTTGCAATTATCCTTGTTAGCTTGGTCAAAATATATAGGATAGTTCAATGCATTAACCAGCAGAGGGCCTAATACTAAAGGGAACAAGGCATCCAAGTTATTGGCATTCATGTTTGCAGAATTTTCTTCTGTGTTTCACTCATCTCATGGATGAAGATTATTAATTCTCAGCAATAGAGTCGGTGAATTGGGTTGTTTATTGAATCACAAAAACAAGTTAAACTTATCCATGCTGATCACAGAAGTTTTAAACTTGGGAGGCAGTTGACAAGAGAAAACCCCCAAAGACCATAGAACATAATTCACAGTGGTGAATCATAAGGCCTAACAACCAGAGGTTGTTAACAACCCGAGGTGAGCAAATAGTGATTCTCTGAAAGTTCTTAAACTGTACCTCTTAGAGCCCTTTCCTATTTTAAATATTAGCTCAGGCCAGATTTAATTTAGGACTAATATATGTATCTGCCTTATGTGCTTCCTGACTCCTTTGTCTAAAAAACTTAAGATTTTTTCTCATACAGAAATTAGAGGGAATCTTAATATTCAATGTGATGAAAAAGAAGGGAGGGGGAGCAGTAACAAAAATAAAAAACCTAGATCAATTGGGGCCATTTGTCCTTTAAATTAATGGAAGAAACAAAATTGATCATAATAGCTAGTTAATTTAAATTAACTCAACTTTGGTTTTGGTTCAATTGACTTAAAAAAAAGTAGCATCAGGTTCTATAGCATATTTCTGCATTGAGCATCAGAGATATGCTTCAGGTCCTAAGGCATTTAAATAACATCAACATCAAGTGGTTCTTTCTAAATGGTAATAGGAAGAGAGCAGAAGTTACAAGATTTGTCTATCACATACTTTTTTAATCAAAAAAACTATTTGTAGATTTTTAAATTGCTAAAGAATCTGCAAATCTTTTTTGTTGCATTTTTGTTATCTGTTTTGTCATCTTTTGGGAAAGTTTAGTGTTGTTTGTACTTTTTTTGAAGGAAATTCAACAAAGGCATGGTCTGGCCAACTCCATTTCCTCATATTTGATCAAGCCTGTCCAGAGGATTACAAAGTATCAACTTTTATTAAAGGTATGCCATTGATTTTGTTGTTATTCTGATATGTATTTATATATTTCATACCAGAGGTGGGCTGCTGCCGGTTCAGCCCAGTTCGATCGAACCGGTAGCAGCGGCAGGAAGCTCCACCCACCCATCTGGACACTTCTGTGCATGCGCTGAAGTGTTGTGTGCACGCGCGAGCTCACAAATGAGCACAAGCGAACCAGTAGTAAACCGGTTAGCAACCCACCACTGCTTCATACTAAGGTCACTCATTAAACTGTTGTAAGTCAAAGACTACTTATATTTATAAAGGGGATGTCCAAGATGACGTGGAAGGACTGTCTGGAGATTATGAGCACCTGTGTTTCTTGCTCCTACTCTCTTCTTATCCTTCCCCCATTGCCAGGACAATGCAGCTGCCAATCAAGTAGCGGTGTTGTGGGGAGGTAGGGAAGAGAGAGAAGAGGAAGACAAGGTGGTTACTTGGGAACTCTATAGCCACAGAGCTCATGAAGAAATTGAGCCAAAGCCCAGGAGTCAAAGTAATGAGTAAAACCAAAGACTAGGTAACCCTGCCGAGAAAGAGGCAATAAGAAAGGAGGCAGCAGCTGAGAAAACTAAAGAGAAAAACGAGTTTATTTCTTTCTCTCAGAGAGGTATCAGGTAAAAAGTCTTCAAGCCATTTTTCTCAGCTGGAGCCAAGATTCAAAAGAGGAAAAACAGTCCAGAAGCCAAGCCAAGAATAAAGAAGCTGAAAAGAGGAAGGAGAAAGTAACTTTGACAGAACGGAAAAAAACCTAAAAAATGATAAAATACAAACTGATTTCTAAAAAAAATGTAGCAGCATAGACAGTGGCAGCTCAGGGGTTTAGATCACAGAAATATAAATGTCGGCAATAAACAAATGTATTTGAGGCACAGAATAGAAAGATATGAGAATATAGTGAAATTGGACTTTGTACAGGTATACAAAATATTGTACAGATAAAGAGCATATAAAAATAATTGGTTAAAACAGAAAATACAGATTAACGACAGATTAACAGAGTTGGAAGGGAACCTTGTAGGTCATCTAGTCCAACCGTCCATCCAAGCAGGAGACCCTACACCATTTCTGACAGGTGGAAGTCCAGTCTCTTCTTGAAAGCCTCCAGTGATAAGGCTCCCAAAACTTCTGAAGGCAACTTCTGTTCCATTGGTTGATTGTTCTCACTGTCAGAAAGTTTCTCCTTATTTCTAGGTTGAATCTGTCCTTGTTCAGTTTCCATCCATTATTCCTTGTCTAGCCTTCAGGTACTTTGGAAAGTAGCTTGACCCCTTCGTCTCTGTGGCAGTCCCTCAAATATTGGAACATTGTCTCCCCTGGTCCTTCTCTTCACTAGACTAGCCATGCCCAGTTCCTGTAACCGTTCTTCATATGTTTTAATCTCCAGTCATATAATCATCCTGGTTGCTTTTCTATGCACTTTTTTCTAGAGTCTCAACATCCTTTTTTGTAGTGTGGTGACCAAAACTGGATGCAGTACTCTAGATGTGGTCTTACTAAGGCTTTATAGAGTTTTTGGTTTTATTAAGATTAATTTCTGAACTACCAGTAGTTGAAGATGTTTATTAACTTACATTTCTTTTCTAATTGGTAAGCTTTTCATTTGTAAAATAAAAATATCTCCCCCCCCCATAAAGGGAGATACAAAAATCTAACCATATAAATTTCAAATGTTTTTTGCCTTTGAGTCTGATTCAACCTGATCGTTGGTGTCTCAAAAAAAAAATCCACCCTGCAATAATTGGTGGCAATGGTGGAATTGCCTCGAACTCAAGGAGGCCTATTAATGATACAAATGAAAAGGAAAAAAGAATGGGCATTAGATAGTCCTCAACTAACAACCATTTGTTTAGTAATCAAACTTACCATGGCACTGAAAAGTGACTTATGACTGTTTTTTTTTTTTCAAATGACTGTTGCAGCACCCCTGTGATCACATGATCCAAATTTGGATGTTTGACAATTGATTCATATTTATGACAGTTGCAGTGTCCTTGGATCATGTGATCACCTTTTGCGACCCTCTGACAAGCAAAGTCAATGGGGAAGCCAGATTCGCTTAACAACCATGTTAGTAACTTAATAACTGCAATGATTTACTTGGCAACTGTGGCAAGAAAGGTCATAAAATGAGGCAAAACTCACTTAACAACCATCTCGCTTAGCAACATAAATTTTGGGCTCAGTTGTGGTCATATGTCAAGGACTACCTCTACAGAGAACATAATTGGGAGCACATAAATCTCCTACCCTGCAGGCACTGTCCAGAATATCGACCTCTGAAAACAGACATTGAACCAGAGTTTATACTCTGTAATTAGAGATGGAAAAGTCTGAGGGTACTGCTGCCCATGTTGATGCTAGGATTCCTTCTGTGGAAACTGAGGTCCTGCCTCAGCCTGTTAAGTCAAAGGAAGGATAGACAATTAGAAAAAGGGTTAGATCCTGCTTCCTGGGCTAATACTAGTTCAGAAATGCTGGAAAGAGGAAGAAGAGACTTGGCTGATCAAGAAAGATGAAGATAAACCAATTGGGATGGAGGCTGAATAGAAAGATCAGTTGGAATCATGTAAGAGAAAGACATTAGAGAAGAGGTTAGGGCATTACTCAATCTAATAAAGGGAGCCAGGCTCAGAGAGGTCATTTTCTCCTTTCCCATTGGGTTCCCCATTGACTTTGCTTGTCATAAGTAAAGAAGGAAGACGGTGCCACAGATATAACAGAGAAGGAAGATATTAAAACATTTTACTAGGTTTGATCAGGTTGCTGCCTTATTTAAATAATCTAAGAATGAATAGTGACCCAGGTGGTAACTTAAGGCCAGTGGTGGGTTTCAACATTTTTTGGAACCCCTTTTGTAGGTGTGGCCTGCTTTGTGGGAGTGGCTTGCTGGCCATGTGGCTTGCCAGCCATGTGACTGAGTGGGAGTGGCTTGGCAGTCACATGGCTGGGTGGGCATGGCCAACATGTAAAATGTGGTGAAACTCATTTAACAACGCTCTTGCTTAGCAACCAAAATGTTGGCTCAGAAAGTCTGGCATTTGAAGCACACAAGTCTTAAAGCTGTCAAGTAACAAGACCTTTGCATCCCTAACCCTTTAGAAAAAAAATCCCAGGGGTGTTCAAACTTGACAGCTTTAAGACTTGTGGACTTCAACTCCCAGAATTCCTCCTCTCGCTCTTCATCTTGATGATGTGCGGACGGGCAGGGGAAGGGAGCTGGAGCCGGTTCTAAATGACACTGTAGATTTGTGGAACCTCTTCTATAGAAGAGTTTAGAACTGGCAGGAACCCATCCCTGCTTAAGGCCCAGTTTAATAGACAAGGCCTTTCATCCAGGATTGGCAAGCCTAGGTTGACAAAGCCGAGGTATTGCATAGAACTGTCTGCATATATATCTCCCTCTCTACTTTCCAATGGATGGCAGGGTTAACTTAGGGTTGCTATAATTCTTTTCTTTAGTTAGAATCAAGACTTACAACTATATGCAGTTCTATAAGGCTATGCCATCTCAAAATCTTAGACAGATATTTTGACTATTGGTATAATTTTATTTACAGTTCCTGGAAGAAAAGTCACTGACCTAGGTGGTATACAACATGATTTTTGGCTCATTATTTACACTCTCTGAGTTTTTATTTACTTTAGTAAATAATAATTTACTTTAGTAGAATTTATCCTTGATACTGACCTTCGTGGCTATTAGAATAATTAGAATAATCCCTCTTCCCAACCTTTTTGGAAAGGCTTGGGTAAAAGACCATTTATCCTGGTTAACTAAGTAATAGTATAGTAGTATATCATATCAAATTACCTATTCCATGGAAATATTTAATCTTCTCAGTTATCAGGGGAACTGAAACAACACTCTGCTACACAATCTATAAAATGGGAATGTTGAATCAGACTTAATAACCCCTTAATTATGAAACTGTTGCAGTTGCTTTAATAAGAGAACTTGTTGTCTCCTGGCTGTCACAGTTCCTGAAGTATATAAAAAGACACTCAAGTATTTGACAATTGCCATAGCTATGAAGAAAGTAACTTACAGCCTGCAAATGACTTGATTGGCTGCAATCACAAGGGAAGAAACTTATCCAGGGGTTTTGTTTTGTTTATGCATTTTTTCCAGGAGCTTTTAACATGCTGTGAAGAAGGAAAAGGAGAGCTCAAGGATGGTTTGGAAGTGATGCTTAGTGTTCCCAAGAAAGCCAATGATGCCATGCATGTAAGCATGCTGGAAGGTAAGTAAATATTAATCTGCCAGAGAGGAGAACGGGCATGGATAGGACAGGCTGTAGATATAAGGCTATATATATGTATTTTTCAGAGTATAAGATACACCTTTTTCCCTCAAAAAAGGGGGGGAAGGTGCATCTTATACTCTGAAAAATACAGTACATATCAAAAAAGAGGGTGTAAATCTGGGTGTGTCTTATACACTGAATACAGCATTTTTTTGCCTCCCGAAACCCCGCCCCTTTGCAAAAATGGCAATGCATAGCCTTAGGAGGTTTTCAGAGTGCTCTGAGGGCTCCTACCCCCCCCCCAAAACGAGCAAAAATTGGTCTGTTGCTTGGTTGTTTTTACCCTTCCAGCCCCCAGAAGCACTCTATAAGCCTCCTAAAGGCTATATATGCCCTTTTTTAACAAAAAACGGGCCTGTTTTACAAAAAACAGACCATTTTTTGCTCATTTTGGGGGGCAGCCCCCAGGAGCACTTTACAAGCCTCCTAAAGTCTATGCATGCTTTTTTTTGGACAAAAAAAATGGGCCCGTTTTGGGAGGTCTGCAGAGTACATAAACTTTTTTTAAAAAAATTGCCTCTTCAAAATCTTGGTGTGTCTTATACTCCTAAAAATATGGTATTTGTCTGTCTTACTGATAACTATGAAGTAGTTAATAATGAACAACTATGAGGAATAACAGAATTACACACCCTGGAAGAGGTCTTTTAGTCTAACCCCCTGCTCAGGGAGGAACCCCTATACATTTCAGACAAATGGTTGTCCAATCTCTTCTTTAAAACCTCCAGTGTTGGAGCACCTCACATCCAATTGCAAAAGGCATTAGGAATGTTCATATCATGAACTGCATTACTCATTCTTAGGGCCACCTTTTAGAAATACCTAAGTGTACCTTTACAAATCTCCAATTGTTAAACTTTGTCCATTTTAAGGAGTACCTGAATCTTCCTTGGACATCAATTTGCTATTTCCATTCTCCCTCATTGCATAATATATTTTTGTACCTTTGATTGTTTTTATTTACATTTGAATTTCCATCCAAATGCTAAAGAGCTGTTATTCCTTCACCATACCTCCGAGTCTCATCTGGATGCACATTCCAAGTAGGTCCTCTGATATATTGAGAAAGACCATTCTTCCACCAAACTCAGTACTATCTAGCCATGGATAGAGTGTGGGTTTTTGAAACCAATGTTACGAGTGTTTCTTTTTTCATTTTTGTTTGTATTTATCACAGGATTTGATGAAAATTTGGATGTTCAGGGAGAACTGATTCTTCAGGATTCATTCCAAGTATGGGATCCCAAATCTCTCATCCGGAAGGGTCGTGAGAGACATTTGTTTCTCTTTGAAATCTCTCTAGTTTTTAGCAAAGAGATAAAAGATTCTACAGGACATACTAAATATGTTTACAAGAACAAATTACTGGTAAGTCTGCAAGGATGTTTATGCACTTCAGGATTTTATTATGTTGGGGGTGGAAGATAAATCAAGCTTTCTGTTTGTTTCTACATGATCGTACTTTACATTGATTCATTTTATTGTACTTTACTAAAGTAGAAATGGTTAATAAAGATATGAAAGAGCTTAAAAATGTATTTATTATTAAATTTGTAGCATAAAAATGTACTTAGCCATTATAAATGAATCATTCAAAAATTCATGAACATATCAGTTTCAGCTACATGTTCTTTCCTTACAGACCTCAGAATTGGGAGTAACAGAGCATGTGGAAGGTGATCCATGCAAGTTTGCCTTATGGTCTGGACGGACTCCCTCTTCAGATAACAAAACAGTGTTAAAAGTAAGTCTCCAAAATTATTTTCCACTATCTCCAATGCTTTATATATATATTTTTCTTCAGTAGAAACATCCAGATCAATAATCACAACCTGGGGCCTTTTCCCAGCCAATTGAACTTACACAGAGACCCATTTCAGATCTTGCTACTCAGTATATGAAACTGTGGGACAAGTGTACATAGTAGATGTAAAAGGTGAGGTAGTTTACACACACATGCCATACATTCATAAATAATGTGAGCTTCACTTCATACATCAGGGATTCTAGTCTATTCAACATAATGCTATTTGAATGCATTAGTCCATCTGTTTTAGTTACCACATACACAATACATCAAAATCATTGGGTAAAGCATAGAGTGTATTTGTTCAATCTGCAACAATCATTCTATATATCAGGCACCAAAGCCTACATACAACAATATATGCACCATACATTAGGAAGTAGCCTTTAGCTGCTGCTAATTTGTTCTCACTTCCAAGGCTATCTTCATCAAGCATTCAGATTTCATTCTTAATTTTACTCTAGTTCTTCTCATTGTTTGAATTTAGTTTAACTGGCTGTAATCCAGTATATGATCATATATAGGTACATGGTTTTATACATAAACTATGTTTTTTTACCATGTTCCCATTTTTTTATAATTTGCCCTAGTGGTTTTTAACAATAGTTTTAAAACTATTTTTAAAAATAGTTTTTTTTTAAACTATCACTAGGGGACGACCTCATTAAAACATGTAACATTGGAAGGAAATTACCCTAAGCTTCATTAGATTAGAATGAAATGATCTGCTATTTTAACACAGTGTGGAGCAAACAATACTATTTATTTTTTTTACTGATCGTAGCAGAAGTTACTTATTTATTATTTATTTATTTCTTTAAAAACTACCATATGACAAATAGCTTTCTTAGTGCTAATGTTTTTTTTTTTTTTAGGTTAGGGTCATTTTACAAAGCTCCATCATTTTAGAGGCTTTGTTTGAGAAACTAGTAATAGAATAAGAACATTTTCCCCTCTGTAAGCATATCATACATATTACATATGGGTGTGTGTATACTGGGTTGGGTTGGGTCATATTATATATCACACACACACATACAATACATATATTATTTTATCTTTATCTTCCTTTCTTTTACTAGCAATGTACTTTTAGCACATGAACTTCTGCTGCCTTATCAAGAAAACTGTTCTGTTAGGTAGGCAAATGAATGAAAGCAACTTTTGAAAAGAACCAAAATACAGGACCCTACTTGAGAAATACTGCAATTCTATCTTCTGCCTTTTCTGTTCAAATGTTTAGGCAACCAGTATTGAAACTAAACAAGAATGGATTAAAAATATTCGAGAAGTGATACAAGAAAGAATGATACATTTAAAAGGAGCTTTGAAAGAGCCAATCCAGCTCCCCAAAACCCCAGCCAAGCAAAGGAACAACAGTAAGAGGTAATCTTAATCGTTTGGTGAATGTTCTATATAAAACAACTGTTTTGCCACAGAAAGACTGGATCTTCACTATGAATTCAATCTGGATTTAAACCATTGTTGAATAACAATATAAGTAGATCCACATACCATGATAAGCCACATACACCACACACATACACAGACCTAAACCAGATCATAGCTTAATGAACTACACCAGTATAAGTTATATAAGAACTCTTGCACTTTGTAGATCAAGTTTAGACTTTCTGAGCAGTAGTTGGGAAATATAATTGGTGAAAATAGTTTTTAGCTTATAAAAATGTTTAATGAGGTAATGCTTAGTCAGATCTGTCTGTGTGTTTCTGTCTGTCTGTATCTGTCCATCTACTTGGATTTAGATTATGTACTTTATTTTGGTAGGATTAAAATGGTGTTAAAGCAATGGCCCATGAGTACTTACACACGAGTAGATGCTAACCTTCCCTAGAAGTTGGTGTATTAATAGTATGTACTGATTACATTAGATTATTGATAACATACTTTACAACAGTCATGTCCTCTTATTTTTTTAAACAAAAAAGTTCTAGCATTGAAGTTCCTTACAGTAGCATCCTATAAGCAGAAATTGGAATGAAGGGTGGAAAATACTCCATAGGATTTCAAATTATCAGAAATATTTTAAAAGGAGAATAAATTAGTTTGTTCATATTTTATATTTTTCAAAGTTTGATAGCTGCATCATTTAAACCACAGAACACGTGAGAACTGAGGAATTGACATCAGTTTTGCAAAACAGCTAGGCTATAATTTAGATGGCTGGGTTTGGTTAAGTGAGAAAGCCAAGCAGAACAGGTCATTGGCCTGCCACATTCATTATGGAGCTATTTTGAGATATGTTGCTGTCACTATATAAACCTGGAATAGTCAGTTTTAAAGAGCAAAAGTGGTTATTATGCACTAACCACACTGTAGGGGTGACATCAGCATTCTAAATTACAGACTAAGTTGTAACACATGTGTGATCAGCTGAACAAATTCTTCTTCACACTGTGCCTGAACACTTTTCAAATTCATTCAAGAAATTTCTTCCTGTTTTTTCCTCTGCAGAGAGGGAGGAGAAGATGCCGACAGCCAAGGAGATGGAAGCAGTCAGCCTGACACGATTTCAATTGCATCCAGGACTTCTCAGAATACAGTAGACAGTGACAAGGTAGGATTTATTCTTGAAAATCTGACATCTCTAAAACACAGAAGAACAGGTGAGAAACAAAAATTGAGTGGCATTTCTTCGTAGAATTAGGTGCCCAGCAAATGTTAGTAATAATAGCTGAGAAATAAAACTATAGATTGTGTCATATGCCAATTGTCACATAGAATGTATATTTCTAAGTGGCTGTCTACTCCACTGCAACTATAGGCATGCAGGAAAAGTCAATTATGCATACATTGAAATCCTGGATAATTTTTTATCGGTGGGGGTGGGGGCAAGTGTTTTTAAAACAATACCTTTAAGAGAATCACCAAGATTCTGCGTGATGTGTATGTTGACCTTCACAAGGGAAGAGCTTAAGTGTCTTTCACGCTTTATTGGAATATATGGAACACATACTGCTTCTGAACAAAGATAGGAAGGATGGCAGAAAAAGGACAGAGAGTCATTGGCAAATTAGGAGGGCCAGTTTGACTTCGGAGAAGTCACGGCAAAACCACAATGTTTTGGGTTTTGTTTGTTTCAGTGAAGCTACCAGTTGTCCCCTTGAACAGTTTGCTATCTTTGTTTGCTTTTAAAGGTATGAATGTTGGGCTGGAGATGCTATGCATGCTGAAGATTTGTGCTATGGTAACCTCATTTGCCTTTTCAGAAAGCAGAACTCGGAAGACACAGCATAGGGGTGTGTGTGTGTGTGTGTGTGTGTGTGTGTGTTCATATTTGCTGCAAGCTTTCCAGAGAAAATTGGAGGGCATTGGGGATAGGTTGACAAAGAAGTTGGGCTATTCAGCTACAGGATTAGAGCTTGGTACAGATAGACTACAAGCCTTTCAAAGCTAATCTTCAAGGGCACAGGCTCTCAGTTGTGAAAACTGGTGCACATTTTAAAATATGAGGCCCAGAGTTTAAATCCAAATTGCATTGTAGAATGATGAAAACATTGTTTGGATGAACTAGAAGGCAAGAATTTTCTTTGCTATAATTTTTTGCTGTAATTTTTTCTCTCCACTCCACAACTAAAATTTCATGTGTTTCAAATTAAATTGAAAGTAACATCGGGCCACATACCTTTGATATGTGGCCCGATGTTACTTTCAAAAGGAGCAATAATATAAAACTTTATTGCCTGAATAAATATTCTATGTGTGGGATTTTTGGAAATGGCATTGATGATAATGCTATGCCATGTTCTCTGTTTGGAGCACCAGTCTGGGTTGCAGCAATAAATCTTAAATGACCAATTTATATGGTATTTCTAAATTACACAAATAATATCTGCCTTATAGATATATGCCAGTATAATTGGTTTCTTTCCCAAATAAAGTGTGAATGGTATTATCTTTTGTAGTCAATAAGCTCAGCAAATACATGGATCATGTGCAGTTTGAAAGCTTCATGTCTTTATTTATTTTGAGACCATTTCTTCTATTTACTTTGTTTTTATGATTAGAGATAAGTAAACTCATTAATTATGTTGGTTGCACAATACTTTCATTTAAGAAATAGTCAAGATTTTAGAAAAGCAACTGCCGGTGGCAGTCACAGAGGAGGTCAAAACAAGTAAGAGCTGCAAGGTTAAATCCTTTGTATGTGCATGCAATATCAATAGACACACAAAAGGCCGGAGTTTAGACCCGTGATGGCAAACCTATGGCACACATGCCCAAAGTGGCATGCGGAGCCATGATACCTAGCATGTGTGGCATCACCCATTCCTCTTCTAGGTTTCTGGCATGCATGGCATGCAATGATCTTCTGGCCTTTGTGTGTGTGTGGCAGCGCCGGAAACTGGAAGAGCTGGTCTTCCATTTTCCGGCATGAGCATGCATGCTGTCCAGCTGATCGTCACATGTGCATGCACGCCAGTAACCGGAATACTTGCTGGCTGGCACGCATGTACGCGTCAGAAATCAGAGGTTCATTTTCTCATGTGTGCATGCCCCCTGGGCAGCTCCTCGTCCGAGTCATGTTCATGACAAGCGCACAAGCATACTCCCTTTTTGGCACCCAGATTTCATCAGGTTCACCATCACTGGTTTAGACCGTAGTCTTACCTGTTTTCACCCCCTCTGTGGATTGCTATTGTCACAGCCAAAGACTGTTGTCTTGATTTGTGCATATTTCAGGTATGATAAGTAAAGGAATTGGTTTATGCCTATCACTTTGCTGCTATTCATTTTCAGCACAACAGGGGAGACTTCTCTCATTCAGAATGCTGCAACAAGAGCAAATTTGGCCTCTGTGATTTTCCATTTATTCTTCCTCAATCAACACCTCAGTTGCCACACAACATACTGATACAGTTAAATCCTGGCTTTCCACATTCTTAACCCTTTGTTCAGGAATTACTGGCAGAAGACTCTCAAAGACAGTATAGCAAGAGTAGCTTCTTTACCAGGAACAAGAATGAAGGAACCAGGAACAAGTCACTGCCTTTGCCCACTGCAACATATAAAAATAATAATCTTATCCAAATCTGTGCTCCATGATTTAAATTCTAGACTTTTTTTCTCTAGCATTTTAAATCGGAAGCTTGACCATTATAACAGTTGTCATTAGCATGGAAATTATTTGTTCCTGCCTCACCAGCTTCATTTATTCTAGTATGTTTCCACTTTTGCAGTAATATAATTTTTAGTACAATTATTTCCTTAATGTTCCTTTGGATTCCATGCTGTGGTAACATTTAAATTGCACATTGGCACCAGTACATGTACCTATATATAGCAAAAAAAATGATACAGACTCATCACCATATGTGTCCTCTACACAGTTACTTTCTTTGGTACCCCTCTGCAAAAGCTAAGGGTTAGTGAATGCAATGAGAAACTTGTAAATTTAAATAATGATCAGTCATAACCACACAATAATGCTTAACACTGTAGCTGGCATGCTTCTAACACTTCCATTTGCCATTGTCAAACTATTCAACACCATGCTTTTTCCAGCCTACTTTTCATAGTCTAAGATCATCGTAGAAGTTTTGTAAATAAAATTCTAGGATACACCATTCCCTCTGTCTAGGGTAGGCTGTAACATATCAAATAGGAATGGATGATTTTGCTTTCTATTACAGTTCACTTTTCACTTTGTCTTAGTTTTACAACAGTTTCTTATTTCTTTTTAATTGTCCACTGATAGTCCTTGATTTACAGCTACAATTGAGCCCGACATTTCTGTTGTTAAATGAGGAAATTTCTGTTGTTAAATGAGTTTTGCCCCATCTTACGACCTTTCTTGCCATAGTTGTTACATGAATCCCCACAATTGTTAAAATACTAACATGGTTGTGAAGTCAGTCTGACTTTGCTTGTCAGAAGGGGAAGACATGACCTTGGGACACAGCAATGGTCATAAGTATGAACCAATTGCCAAACATCTGAATTTTGATCACATGACCATGGGGATGCTGCAACGGTCATGAATGTAAAAAACGCTGCAATTTTGAATGGTCAGTAAATGAACTGTTGTAAATTGGGGACTCCCTGTATTTGAAATCCTGAATGTTTTTAATATGTGCATGTTAAACACAATAATCATATGAAACTGACCCTCTTTTCATTACATTCTTCCGTAATTTAATAACATCACTAATATTTTAATTTATTTTTATTTTTATTGATTTTATTATAAATTATTTGATTGTTGTGAGTCATCTAAGTTATTAGGAGATAGGTGGCATACAAATAAACAAATTGTTATGATTAATATAATATTTTCTTAACATATACTATTTTATCAAGCCCCTGAATTGTGAAATTCAAAGCTATACAGATAATTGCAATCTGTTCATTCAGTCTTACTATAATCAAATTTCTCTTCTATTTCTATATAATTGAATTGAATTGAATTGAATTGTTTATTATTTATAGGCCGCCCTTTTCCCTGAGGGGACTCAGGGCGGCTTACAATTCATGGGAAGGGGAGTGCAAGACAATATAACACAATACGTGAATAAACAAAATAACAAAATAATAACAATAAAACACAACAGTCATTCAACATTCGGGTGGGGCAGCGTAATCCTTATCCCCAGGCCTGACGCGATAGCCAAATCTTAAGGGCTGTGCGGAAGGTCTGGACGGTGGTGAGGGTACGAATCTCCATGGGGAGATTGTTCCAAAGGGTCGGAGCTGCTACTGAGAAGGCTCTCCTCCGCGTAGTCGGCAGTCGGCACTGACTGGCGGATGGAACTCGGAGGAGGCCTAATATAAGAAGGGGAATTGGGATCCATTTCTGAAATCCATTCAGAATGAGCTTTAGAATAATGGTCTTTTTTTTTAAGGAAGATTAAAATACTTCAGTTTCTTAAACTATTAATTTGAAGCAGCAGGAAGTCATTTCTTCACATTTAGTTGGCAGAGAGTCAGAAATTTGGCATGAGTGAGAATAAATTCTCCTGTTGCTATTGAGTTTTTTCACTATTTATATAAGCAAATAATCCACAGCGTGAGCCAGAAGTATAAATTTAGATTATAGCCATCTGCTTTTAAACAGAGTTTAACCAGCAGCTTTCTGAATGTGCAATGCCACCTTATGACCCACCCCCCATTTACACACATAAAACTATCCATGTGATTTGCCCCCATCTCCCAGCATGGGCTTCAATTGAGTGTGATGCCTGAATGTGTTGATCATCAAAGCATTTGCTTGGGTGGAAAGCAATATATACAAATGAATCAATAATGCAGCAGTTTGATTCTTGCTTCCTACACTCAAGACTTATGAGAAATGCTATTTTGACATTGCCACATTTGGGGTTCTGTGTGAATGGGAGAGCTAGGTGCTTTCAGTGTTTGTGAAGTTTACCCTTCTAACTGTAATAATTTGGGTTTGAATGATCCTATATGTTTCCACCTAGAGGACAGTATATACGTTAATAGTAACTTCACAGGCTTCTTTTTCAATATCACTTCCTCCATCTTTTGAAAAATCATTGCTATGTGCAGTCATTAAGAGGATAGGGAAACGTTGCAAGATAGCCTGCTGCATCTTTTATT